ACAGAATTGTTACTTAGGGCCACAGAAACGTTACTTAGGGACACAGAAACGTTACTTACTCAGGGACAGACACAGAATTGTTACTTAGGGACACAGAATTGTTACTGAGGGACACACAGAATTGTTACTGAGGGACACAGAAATGTTACTGAGGACACAGAATTGTTACTTAGGGACACAGAATTGTTACTTAGGGCCACAGAATTGTTACTTAGGGACACAGAATTGTTACTGAGGGCCACAGAATTGTTACTTAGGGACACAGAATTGTTACTTAGGGACAGAAACAGACAGGGCACAGAATTGTTACTCAGGGACACACAGAATTGTTACTGAGGACACACAGAATTGTTACTGAGGGACACAGAATTGTTACTGAGGGACACAGAATTGTTACTCAGGGACACAGAATTGTTACTCAGGGACACAGAATTGTTACTGAGGGACACAGAATTGTTACTGAGGGACACAGAATTGTTACTGAGGGACACAGAATTGTTACTCAGGGACACACAGAATTGTTACTGAGGGACACAGAATTGTTACTGAGGGACACAGAATTGTTACTCAGGGACAGACACAGAATTGTTACTGGGACAGACACAGAATTGTTACTGAGGGACACAGAATTGTTACTGAGGGCCACAGAATTGTTACTCAGGGACACAGAATTGTTACTGAGGGACACAGAATTGTTACTGAGGGCACAGAATTGTTACTCAGGGACACAGAATTGTTACTGACAGACACAGAATTGTTACTGAGGGACACAGAATTGTTACTGAGGGACAGAATTGTTACTCAGGGACACAGAATTGTTACTCAGGGACAGACACAGAATTGTTACTGAGGGACACAGAATTGTTACTCAGGGACAGACACAGAATTGTTACTGAGGGACACAGAATTGTTACTCAGGGACACAGAATTGTTACTCAGGGACACACAGAATTGTTACTGAGGGACACACAGAATTGTTACTCAGGGACACAGAATTGTTACTGAGGGACACACAATTGTTACTGAGGGACACAGAATTGTTACTGAGGGACACAGAATTGTTACTGGGGACACAGAATTGTTACTGAGGGACACAGAATTGTTACTCAGGGACACAGAATTGTTACTCAGGGACACACAGAATTGTTACTGAGGGACACAGAATTGTTACTCAGGGACACAGAATTGTTACTGAGGGACACAGAATTGTTACTGAGGGACACAGAATTGTTACTCAGGGACACAGAATTGTTACTCAGGGACAGACACAGAATTGTTACTCAGGGACACAGAATCGTTTAATTAAAGAGTATGTCAGACAACATGCAGAGGAGTGGCAGAGGAGGCAATGTTTTAGGAGCGAGCAGACGTGGCAGCAGAGGAAGGGGTCGAGGCAGCACTAGTCGCAGCCAGAGGCCAGTGCTCCCGGTGTCATCCAGCGGTCGTGTCTCCACCGACAACCCTGCCGTCATCGATTGGTTGGCTCGGTCGTCTTCCTCTTCCCAGGTCACCTCTGACACCTACAGCCAACGGTCGGTGGGTACGTCAGACACAACCGTTAGTTGGCATGGCCCGGGAGCAAGCCCACTGAAATCACGTGTCCTCTACCTGCCCCTGTCCTTTGGTGTTCCCTCACCAAGCGAAGTATCGCATGCTGTGGGCTCAGCCCCACTGTACAGTGAGGAAGAGCTAACAGAGGGCGGTCAGGAACGGGGGGAGACATCCGCCTCTTCAGCAGCCAGGCGAAGAAGTAGTGGCGAGGAGAGTGGCTCGGTAGCCGGTCTAGAGACAGGTCTGTCTCCTGACCCACACGCAGCCGAGGGGGCTAGTAGTGAGGCGGAGACCCTAATTGATGATGATGAGGCTGATCGCACTTGGCAGCCTCGTCGTCATCAGGCTATTGCTTCCGCATCATCAGGAGAAGAGGGTGGCAGCTTGGCAGCGAGCAAAACAGTCGGTGGGTTGCCCAGGAGGCAGCAGGGTCGCAGCAGTGTCAGTGGAGGCAAACGGCCACGGAGTAGAGCACCAGCTCCACTGCAGCCTACCACCACGGCCAGTAGTGGTGCCGGTGTGCACGGAGGAAGCAGCAGTCAGCCAGTGAGGAGTATCGGGGGCAAAGTTTCCTACTCGGCGGTGTGGCAATTTTTTGTCAAGCCGCCCGAGGAAGTAAACGTAGCCGTATGTCGACTATGTGGCCAGAAAGTCAAGCGTGGCCAGGGGGCCCATGTTGGGACTACAGCGTTGCGGCAGCATATGCAGCGTCGCCATTTGGTGGCCTGGGAAAACCGTGATAAAGATACGGCGGTTCTGCCTGCCCCAGCCCCCGCTCCATCACCCGCTCCGTTACTTGCTCCGTCACCCGACGTCAATCGCCCTCTATCAGCCAGTCAAGGCTCCAACACCTCTGCTGAGGGAGTTGTCGCTCGTTGGCATCTTCCGCTCGTTCAGATGCTCCTTCTCCTGCTACTCAAGTGGTGGACTCAGCACCTTTCCGAGAAATGATGGCTTGTGCCGCGCCGCGGTGGAGAGTGCCAAGCCGGCATTTCTTCGCCAAAAAGGCAGTGCCAGCCCTGCATTCACATGTAGAAGAGATGGTGGGCCAGTCTTTGAGCATGTCGGTCTCTGCCAAAGTGCACGGCAGCGCCGACGTGTGGAGCTGTAACTACGGTCAGGGACAGTACATGTCATTTACGGCCCACTGGGTGAACGTGGTGCCGGCACAGCCGCACCAGCAACTTGGACAGGTCACGCCGCTTTTGCCTCCACGTTTGCACGTCCTTGGTCCACAAAAGATGTCCGCCTCTACCACCTCTCTCTTCCGCCGTGTCCTCAGCCGCCACCCCCGTGCCAAGTCCCATTACCCGACCGGCATATCACATGTGCAGGGCGCAACGGTGTCACGCTGTGCTGCACCTGGTATGCCTTGGCGAACGTAGTCACACAGGGGAGGAACTTCTCAGTGTAATGAACAGAGAAATCGACAGATGGCTGTCTCCGCGCAAACTGAAAATCGGAACCATGTTGACCGACAACGGAAAGAACATGGTGTCTGCTCTGCGTCAAGGAAGGTTGTGCCATGCGCCATGCATGGCTCACGTGTTCAATCTGGTTGTCAAGCGGTTCCTAAAATCCACCATCCCACTGCAAGACATCCTTAAAATGTCACGTAAACTTTGCATGCATTTCAGCCATTCCTACACCGCAAAGCACACCCTCCTTGAGCTGCAGCGGCAGAACGGAATTCCACAGCATCGCCTGATCTGCGACGTTGCAACAAGGTGGAATTCAACCCTACATATGTTAGACCGCCTTTACGAACAGCGAAAGGCCATCACCGATTTCCTGATGTTACAAGCGGATAAAGGTACTCCCCTGTGTAACTTCGATGTCAGCCATTGGCAGCTCATGCGTGACACCTGCCGCTTGCTCAGGCCCTTTGAGGAGGCCACGCTATTCGTGAGTCGGCAGGACTATGGGATGAACGACGTCATTCCTCTGTTGCACGTCCTGGAACAAATGCTGTTAACAATGGCTGGTCAGGGTGCGGTAACGTGGCGCACAGATCTCAACGCCACATGACCCCTGTGGGGGCAGGACAGGAAGAAGAGGAGGAGGTAGAGGAGGACATTGGTGCTCAGGAATTATTGAGTGAAATGGGTGGTTTTTCCACTCAGCGGACAGGAGTGGAGGAGCAGGAGCATCTGGTAGAGGAGGAGGAGGAGGAGACAGAGGACCCAGACGCACCGTGGCAGTATGCTGTGGAGATGGAGGCAGGGAGTCCCTCGCATTCCTTGGCACAAATGGCCCATAGCATGCTCGGTTGCTTGCGTAGCGACAGCTGAATAATAACCATCAGACAGAGGGATGACTTTTGGCTGTCCACCTTGTTGGACCCTCGCTACCGTTCAAAAATGGTGGCCTTTTTCACACCTGCTGAGAGGGAGGCCAAAATAACGTACTATAAAAACCACCTATGTAGTCAGTTGGTCTCTGCCTGTCTGCGCCAACGTCCATCCTCAGACACTGTGGGCCCTGTGCGCTCGCGTTCCGCTGCCATGGCAGCAGGGGAGGGGTGGGGTGGTAGGAGCAGTGGCAGCTCCACCAGCAGCGGCTGCCTCAGTCTGCAGTCGATGATGAGTAGCTTTCTTCACCAGCGCAGTGAGGAAACTACTAACCAGCCGCAGCAGCAGCAGCATCAGGTGGACCTGGAGCAGGACCTCAAACAACAGGCTTAGGCCTACTTGGACAGCTCCCTGCCAACTGAGGTAGACAATCCCCTTGACTACTGGGCAACGAAACTTGACCTTTGGCCCCAACTAGCTGAATTTGCCCTTGAAAGGCTGTCATGCCCGGCCAGTAGCGTGGCATCGGAGCGCGTGTTTAGTGCGGCAGGAGGTATTGTAACTCCGCGGAGGACACGACTGTCCACCCAAAGTGTGGAGAGACTCACGTTTGTGAAAATGAATCAGGCGTGGATTAGTCTGGATTTCAAACCACCAGTTCCTGACACAACTGACTAAATCTGTCATGAATCATGCCCCAAACATGTGCCACTTTCAGGTCTCCTCACACTGCTGGTGGGTTCCATTTTTTGTCATAGGGTGCTGGCAGATTACGGGCCTCCCATTGCTGCTGCCAGGCCCGTAATCTGCCATGGGCCCCCGTACCGACTCCTCATGCTGCTGCCAGGCCCGTAATCTGTCATGGGCCCCTGTTGTCGCTTGTTGGCATATTCCGCTCGTTCAGATGCTCCTTCTCCTGCTACTCCTCTTCACGGATTCCGTCAGCAGTCTTTCTTGGAATCCGTTTCCAAGAGACAACAGTTTGCGAGCACGCACCCGACGGTGCAGAAGCTGAACGTCCTCCTGTCCAAGTTGCTGCTGCCAGGCTCGTAATCTGTCATGCGCCCCTGTACCGCCTCCTCATGCTGCTGCCAGGTCCAGAGTGTGTCATGGGCCCCGTACCGACTCCTCATGCTGCTGCCAGGCCCGTAATCTGTCATGGGCCCCTGTACCGCCTCCTCATGCTGCTGCCAGGTCCAGAGTGTGTCATGGGTCCCTGTACGGCCTCCCATTGCTGCTGCCAGGCCCGTAATCTGCCATGGGCCCCCGTACCAACTCCTCATGCTGCTGCCAGGCCCGTAATCTGTCATGGGCCCCTGTACCACCTCCTCATGCTGCTGCCAGGTCCAGAGTGTGTCATGGGTCCCTGTACGGCCTCCCATTGCTGCTGTCTCCATCGCCACACTCTGCCATGTGCCACTTTCAGGTCTCCTCACACTCCTGCTGGGTTCCATTTTGTCATAGGGTGCTGTATGGCCTCCCATTGCTGCTGCCTCCACCGCCACACTGTGGCTCCACACTCTGGTTTTGGCCCCGTGACTGCCCAAATGAGTGAAGTGTGCGGTGATTCTAAGATCGACGGCACTCATCTGCATGTCATACTGACTGACAGTATTATTTCTCTTCCCCAGCAGACTCCAAGGGCATTTAAATTAAAGGTACAGTGTTCTGCACTAATATAAAGGCTCTCTGAAGCCTAGAAACACCCTTTTATAAGTTAAATTCGCAGCGAATATATTCAACTCGAATCGAACTTTTTTCACGAATTCGCCGAATCAGTCGAATCGAATTTTTGAATAATTCGCTCATCTCTAGAGGGGATGATCAGAAAGTGAGGTTGTCAGAAGGCTTTGTTGTCTGGAGTTGGGATAGTCAGAAGGTGGGGTTGTCAGAAGGTCTGGTTGTCTGGAGATGGGTTTGTCAGATGATGGGATAGTCAGAAGGTGGGGATGTCAGGCGTTAGTGATGTCAAAAGGTGGAGTTGTCAATGTTATAGTAACCCAACTGGTAGTCATCTTGAATTATGACTCTGGTGGTACTGATGGAAAAAAGATGAAGGGAATTCTCAACCCCCCCAATCAGAGGGAAAAGAAGTTATTTGAAGCCCAGGTTCCTTCTTTAGAATACATCTCACAGGAGACATCCATTGCACTTTAATCAATTGGTTTATTATGGCCATTTAATGGATTTAGGATTTATGTAACATCATGCATGGTGAATGTGGGGGCATCCGGGTACAGTATTTGATATGACAGATCTGTCATATTTTCATGGATGATGGGTTGTTATGTGACGGATGGTGATGTGGATCATGTTTTTGTAAAATAAAGATCTCGATGAAGAGTGCATCAGTAGAATTGATACAAATTTTACAATTCTCTCTGTGTCATGGAATTCCTTCTTCTCTCTCTTTCAGGTGGTCCATCTGTACAACATGAGCCGGTACAGTAAGGAGGAGTGCCGCCGAATCTTGGGGAACTTCAACTGGAGCCTGGAGGCAGCTTCAAGCTATGTCCTGAGACATGGGAACCCCCACTGATGGGAATGACTGAAGGTTCTTCCCTTCATGCAGAGCAATTGAGAAGCCCAGATTGCCTAGAAAGGTGTCGGGGGTCATAGCTCTACACACTGGGATTTACCATCGCAGCTCTCACTGTAGACTGTACACATAAAGGACATCTTAAACTGGTGGCCATGCAAAGATGGCAGAAAGCTTCTGGATGCACTGGTTGACTTTTCTTCTGAATTCTGAGGTTGGCATGCTCTCAGCATCCTATCTGCCATTTTATTCACTTCTGCTGGTGCCGGTAATGGAGAAATTTCACTGGAGGAATTTCTTTGGCTAAACAGTTTAGTAAAATGGGTCAGTGCCATGCTATATGTTTTGCCTCTTCCTCATTTGAAGGACGAGGGGTTCCTCTGGGGTAAAAAAAGGTTGATCAAGGAGGCGGTAGACTGTGCAATCAGAGGCACTGCGACTGAGGGAGGCTGACATTTTTGGAAATCTTCATTACCTCCGGACACAGTCCTCCTCTCACTGTGTCCAGGGCTTTATTGTGCAAAAGTCCAGAAAGTTCTCAGAAAATTATTCTTTGTAAACAAGGCGGGATTCACGATGTTGGGTTAGGGTAGGGTGTCATGACGCCAGAAATTTACAACGATGTTGTAATCTACAAAGGATGAAGACTTACGGAACTGCGGAATAAGAGAGAGGTCCATGTCCTAGGCATAAATGCAACGTGTGACATGCAGGTCTGGCAGTAATTCGGGATACTGGCCCATTTCTAATAGGTCTTGATCTAGGAGGCTCAGGCACCTCGCCATAATAAATTCCAGCAAAGTGTAATTTCTATATGAGTGTATCAGCTGTTTAACATGGCAGTTCAACTATGACATGTATGCTTTCAAGGGGCTTGCCGTATTGTGCGTACAACTATGACATGTATGCGTTCAAGGGGCTTGCTGTATTGTGCGTACAACTATGACATGTATGCTTCCAAGGGGCTTGCTGTATTGTGCGTACAACTATTGCATGTATGCTTCCAAGGGGCTTGCCGTATTGTGCGTTCAACTATGACATGTATGCTTCCAAGGGGCTTGCCGTATTGTGCGTTCAACTATGACATGTATGCTTCCAAGGGGCTTGCCGTATTGTGCGTTCAACTATGACATGTATGCTTCCAAGGGGCTTGCCGTATTGTGTGTACAACTATGACATGTATGCTTCCAAGGGGCTTGCCGTATTGTGCGTTCAACTATGACATGTATGCTTCCAAGGGGCTTGCCGTATTGTGCGTTCAACTATGACATGTATGCTCCCAAGGGGCTTGCCGTATTGTGCGTTCAACTATGACATGTATGCTTCCAAGGGGCTTGCCGTATTGTGTGTACAACTATGACATGTATGCTTCCAAGGGGCTTGCCGTATATTGTGTGTACAACTATGACATGTATGCTTCCAAGGGGCTTGCCGTATTGTGCGTTCAACTATGACATGTATGCTTCCAAGGGGCATGCCGTATTGTGCGTTCAACTATGACATGTATGCTTCCAAGGGGCTTGCCGTATTGTGCGTACAACTATGACATGTATGCTTCCAAGGGGCTTGCCGTATTGTGCGTTCAACTATGACATGTATGCTTCCAAGGGGCTTGCCGTATTGTGCGTTCAACTATGACATGTATGCTCCCAAGGGGCTTGCCGTATTGTGCGTTCAACTATGACATGTATGCTTCCAAGGGGCTTGCCGTATTGTGCGTTCAACTATGACATGTATGCTCCCAAGGGGCTTGCCGTATTGTGCGTTCAACTATGACATGTATGCTTCCAAGGGGCTTGCCGTATTGTGCGTTCAACTATGACATGTATGCTTCCAAGGGGCTTGCCGTATTGTGTGTACAACTATGACATGTATGCTCCCAAGGGGCTTGCCGTATTGTGCGTTCAACTATGACATGTATGCTTCCAAGGGGCTTGCCGTATTGTGCGTTCAACTATGACATGTATGCTTCCAAGGGGCTTGCCGTATTGTGTGTTCAACTATGACATGTATGCTTCCAAGGGGCTTGCCGTATTGTGCGTTCAACTATGACATGTATGCTTCCAAGGGGCTTGCCGTATTGTGCGTTCAACTATGACATGTATGCTCCCAAGGGGCTTGCCGTATTGTGCGTTCAACTATGACATGTATGCTTCCAAGGGGCTTGCCGTATTGTGCGTTCAACTATGACATGTATGCTCCCAAGGGGCTTGCCGTATTGTGCGTTCAACTATGACATGTATGCTTCCAAGGGGCTTGCCGTATTGTGCGTTCAACTATGACATGTATGCTTCCAAGGGGCTTGCCGTATTGTGTGTACAACTATGACATGTATGCTCCCAAGGGGCTTGCCGTATTGTGCGTTCAACTATGACATGTATGCTCCCAAGGGGCTTGCCGTATTGTGCGTTCAACTATGACATGTATGCTTCCAAGGGGCTTGCCGTATTGTGCGTTCAACTATGACATGTATGCTCCCAAGGGGCTTGCCGTATTGTGCGTTCAACTATGACATGTATGCTTCCAAGGGGCTTGCCGTATTGTGCGTACAACTATGACATGTATGCTCCCAAGGGGCTTGCCGTATTGTGCGTTCAACTATGACATGTATGCTTTCAAGGGGCTTGCCGTATTGTGCGTTCAACTATGACATGTATGCTCCCAAGGGGCTTGCCGTATTGTGCGTTCAACTATGACATGTATGCTTCCAAGGGGCTTGCCGTATTGTGCGTTCAACTATGACATGTATGCTTCCAAGGGGCTTGCCGTATTGTGTGTACAACTATGACATGTATGCTCCCAAGGGGCTTGCCGTATTGTGCGTTCAACTATGACATGTATGCTTCCAAGGGGCTTGCCGTATTGTGCGTTCAACTATGACATGTATGCTCCCAAGGGGCTTGCCGTATTGTGCGTTCAACTATGACATGTATGCTTCCAAGGGGCTTGCCGTATTGTGTGTTCAACTATGACATGTATGCTTCCAAGGGGCTTGCCGTTTTTTTTTTTATATGTGTTTTTGATTATTGTGGTTCTGACTACTTTTTATGCATTTCTTTGTAAAACTGTATATTGTCATGTGAGTTCATTGCACTGTTTAGGTATGCTGCCCTTTGGAGTCGGTAAGATCTGAGAAGCAAGGGTTACACTGCTGGCCAGGTTCCCCTGAGCTTTTTAGCAAGTACTTCCCTCTGCAGGGAAAACAGTTTGCAGGGGAGAGAACCTCCTCTAGGGCAGGGGTTCAATTCAGAACTTCCCCAAGATGGGAAGGGAATAGGAGCTATCAGAGCCCAGACAAGGGGTGAGCAGGAGGGGAGGCTGCCCTGGGCACTGTGGTATAATGTAAGGTGTGTGTGTGTGTGGGGGGGGGGGGGAGGGGCACCATGAGGAGATTAGGGGAGGGAATTTGTGTTGGGTGGGGGAATTTGGAGGGGCAGCAGGGGTAAGAATTGTTCTAGGATGGGAATGTAGGGAGGTGTGCTAGAAGTGGTGATTTGAGGGGATTTGTGTTGGGAGGGGGAATTTGGAGGGGCAGCAGGGGTAAGAATTGTTCTAGGATGGGAATATAGTGGTGATTTGAGGGGATTTGTGTTGGGAGGGAGACTTTGAAGGGACAGTAGGGGTAAGAGTTGTTCTAGGATGGGAATATAGTGGTGATTTGAGGGGATTTGTGTTGGGAGGGAGAATTTGGAGGGGCAGTAGGGGTAAGAGTTGTTCTAGGATGGGAATATAGTGGTGATTTGAGGGGATTTGTGTTGGGAGGGAGACTTTGAAGGGGCAGTAGGGGTAAGAGTTGTTCTAGGATGGGAATATAGTGGTGATTTGAGGGGATTTGTGTTGGGAGGGAGAATTTGGAGGGGCAGTAGGGGTAAGAGTTGTTCTAGGATGGGAATATAGTGGTGATTTGAGGGGATTTGTGTTGGGAGGGAGAATTTGGAGGGGCAGTAGGGGTAAGAGTTGTTCTAGGATGGGAATATAGTGGTGATTTGAGGGGATTTGTGTTGGGAGGGAGACTTTGAAGGGGCAGTAGGGGTAAGAGTTGTTCTAGGATGGGAATATAGTGGTGATTTGAGGGGATTTGTGTTGGGAGGGAGAATTTGGAGGGGCAGTAGGGGTAAGAGTTGTTCTAGGATGGGAATATAG